TCTGGCCATCCAGTATAGTTGTCAATCATGACCAGCAGATAACTTTTTATTCACCTGTTGTCCCATATATCTCTATAATCCATTATAACCTCCTACCTTCTTTCTGCACTTGCCGTTTCTCATATCTCTAAATATTATTGAGGGCTATACTCTGTATTAGTCTTATTACATTTTTTTTTTCCAGTTATTTTTTTAGTTATCAGTTATTTTGCAATCTCACTCGACTGAGTCCAGATTCCACTCGTCCTAATATTGTGGCCTGTCATCTAATCACCTAGAAATGTTATTTACTTCCTTTAAATCTAGTTCCATATAAGTGTCATAACACCTGCTTACTTCCAATCAATTAGGTGTCCACTATTTTACAGCTAGTAAAATATCATCAACATCATGTATCAGTAACACTCCCTCTGCCAAGGGTCAATCGCTCAGCGGGCCTCGCAGGGCGTGATTTAACAACCCTGGAGAAAATATTAAATCTTCTGGTACTCTGGTGTACCTCTATTGCTGCCCCTAAAGGTAAATGAAGCTGTGCAAAAATCCACATCTGCTGGTCCTGTAGACCATAATTGGCTTGGTAAACTGTCTAGCATTGGTGCCGCCACCTCATGATCCGTTCTTTCTCTCCCATGCCACCTTGTGACCCATATATGTTTTGCTAATTTGCCAACCACACCCATCAAATTTTTTTGTTAATCTTTCTTGAAATCATTCAGTTTAGTTTTGGTCACAGATTAGTCATGTTCAGTGGGTTGGTGGGAGGCATGTATGGTGCAATAAGAGTTACCAAAGGCCTCCATTGAGCATAAAGCGAGAGAAGGCCGTTTCCCGGCATGGTTTCTGGCTCCAGTTGGTCCCAGTAAATATCAGCTCCTACAGGCTCTCGCATCGATGACAGCAACCATTGTCCTTCCAGGTGAGGTGTACCCAGTGAACAGTTCTTAGTGATCCCTCTGGGAATTCTCACCATAACACCATCAGCACAGCATAGAATGATGCATCAAGCTTTATCAGCAAGTCTCTGCCCCATAAGTTTGTGGGGTCTCTGTCTGACAACAGAAAGTGATGTTTCAGTTGTTGTCCATCAACAGACACTGGTATTGGCTCAGTTAAAGACAATCTTTCACATTTCTCAAGTGAAAGCCATTACTTCCACAGTTTTTTTTTTTAAATCAAGTCCTGATCGACAGGGGTAATCAACGTTGAATAGGTGGCACCTGTGTCAACCAAAAAAGTCTGGACAGTCATTATTAACCTCCATAGAAAGCAGTGGCTCCGCCTTAGCCACGCTTGGATCTCCCTGTGGGCCTCCTCAGAAATGCTCCTGTCCTCCCCAGAGTGGATATTGTGTTCCACCCTGCCCTGGGTTCTGTCCTCCAGGGTTTGGAGCTTCTCCCGCAAGTGGTGCCACGAAGCCTTAGGGCCTACTCACACTATGCTATCCGAACTGTGTCCAGGCCCGTTTCCTGGATTGTTTGAGAAGTGTGAGTGCGCTGAATCAGGCTCAGGCACGGTTCACTTGGCCGGCCCTGGCCCTGTTGGAAGAGGTGGGCCTGAGCACGGTTCACTTGGGCTTTGGCGCGGTACGTTGGTAGTGTGAGTGCAAAAAGCCCGAAACTGAAAGCGAGACATGACTTTAAGGGAAAGTTTCATATGGATTTATTAATCTTTCTTACTTTTCAGTGAACTCAAACTGCCGTAGTTTATTAAAGATGCAAACCCCTCACTGCACGACAGCTGTGCGCCTTCAGCAGACCTCCTCATTCCTGCAGCATGAGGGCTTTATGACTGTTTATGAGCGCCAAAAGTGGCGGATCTGTTCGGCGAAATATCTGATGCGTGTCACCGCATGCCTAAGGACTGTTTGGCGAAATATTTGACTGCATGTCACTGCATATCAAACGACTGAAACGATATAACTAAAAAAATCTCCACTGTGCTGCTGAGTGAGAGCGCTTCTCACTGAACAGCGCACCATCGATGACGTAAGCGTGCCCAGGCCCTATTGTGGTGTGATTGCGGGCCGTAAGGGGAGACAGGAGGGGGGACAAGCGTGCTTTGTCCCGGATCGAGGCAACTGTACCTTGTGTGAGTACAGCCTTAGCCTCCTTCCACGTCCCCTCTCTCGGCATACGGATTTTGTCCCTTGGGACATCTTGTCGAAATGTGTCCCAGCTGATTGCATGTGTAGCATTGACTAGTCTGGCAGTTGCGATGTAGCTGACTTAGGCGGCCACACCTGAAACAGCCCTCTCCACACCCATGCCCCTTGTAAGCCCCAGAACCCCCTTGACCCCCATGCCTCTCCTATTCTGTCTTCTAAATTAAGGTTGGCATTTAGGTGTTTGGTTTGGTGGCTGGTTGTAAACAGGTTCCATGTAAGATTGTTCAGGGTCAGGTGACTGCAGCAATTGTTTACCTTTATGTTTATCTTTTTTCTTTTGATCATTGACTTCTTGTCTGGCTTTGTTCACTTGTAATTTCACTAATTGGTTTTTCAGTTCCTTAATCTCAGACTGACTCTCATCAGCTTTATCTTTAGCTCTATTGATGTGATGGAGCAAGTGTCTCTCCCAGGTGGCCGAAGCACTTCCTGGTATGTCAGGAATTTTTTATTTATTTATTAAAAAAAAAATATATATATATATATATATATATATATATTTTTTTTTTTTTTTTGAGCCGTTTTAACACAGCTTGAAGTATCCTCAACTACTCCTTCATGAATTGGTTAGCATGAATATGTGTCCCAGTCTGGGCTTCTCACTCCAGTTTACATCCCAATACTTATGATGCTGGTGTTTCATCAGCCTTAGGGGTGGACTTTATGTTATGTATAGCACCAGATGGTGCAGGAAATTTTCTTCTTATTGCTGTGCCCGATGCAGTTGCTACGTTGCAAAAAGAAGTGTCTGATTGACATTTATTTGTCAATCAGAAATTGACAATTCCCCACTAGAAATCATAGAATAACAACAAACTTTTATTATTATTTTTATCTTCAAGTAATTTTTTTTACCTTAACACAATTTTATCCTCTAATATCAAGTCTTAGTTCCTCAAATAGTTACTTCCTTAAAGAGTTATTGCTTTTTTTGTTTCTATCTCAACACAATTGTATCCTCTAATACCAAGTCTTAGTTCCTCAAATGGTTACTTCCTTAAAGAGTTATTGCTTTTTTTGTTTCTATCTCATCTGTTTGATATCTCTCTCTCTCTCTCTCTCTCTCTCTCTCTCTATATATATATATATATATATATATATATATATATGTATATATATATATAACATATTTTAAACTCTAATCTTTTAAACATCTTTTTTTATTATTAAACAATCATTTGGACTTCTTTTTCTTTAACTCTTAGCTTTTAATTTTTCCTTATTTATTTATTTATTTATTTTTATTATCTTACTTATATATTTGGCCAGGAACACTTCAGTTAACCAATTTCAACCAGTCAAGTTTTCTTTTCTAATTATTTTCTTCATCGACCGAAGACTCCTCAATTTTATCTCTTCGCTGTTTAACAGCTTATTTTCTATCTCAGTTCCTCATTTTTCTTCTAATGTATCTATTCTAATGTTTCTTTAGTATCTGGTCTTTATGTTGTATTTTAATTTCTCTTTATTATTTATTATTATCATTATTTATTTTATTTATTCATATAGTCTGTTTCAACTCATATTTTTCAAAATATGGACCAAAATCTCTGAGGAATATTTCCAGCACCTTGTTGAATTTATGCCACGAAGGATTAAGGCAGTTCTGAAGGCAAAAGGGGTCCAACCCAATAATAGAAAGGTGTACCTAATAAAGTGGCCGGTGAGTGTATGTTTTTGCTGTATTATTTATTATTAATATTATTTGTCTCTTTTAAAGTGTATTATTTTATTGTTTTATTTTTTCCTTTTTTTATTTTTTATTTTTTTTGCTAATCTGAAAATTAAAACCCAATTGTTAATTTGTATGACAAGTTTAAAATATAAATTGTTGTTCAATTATTTTAAAAAGCATGGGTTCTTCATTGAAAAAAATACTTTGTGAGCTCAACTAATTTTTGAACCCCCTTGGGAACCTTTTTAATGTATTTAGCTTAGATTTCTTTGATTACGTCAATAAGACTGTCCACACTTTTTAGAAATGCCAAATATTATGTATGGACACCGGTAACTTATCAGACATTCTTATTAAGGATTCTAAGCACACAATCCTGTTACCAAAAGTTGTGTTAAATGTTGTGAGTGTGGTTGATATTTAAATGAATATTTACCATAACTCTTAGACCAGTGGTCACCAAACTTGTTCCTGAAGGGCCGGTGTCCTGCAGATTTTAGCTCCAACCCTAATCAAACACACCTGAACAAGCTAATCAAGGTCTTGCTCGGTATACTTGAAACATCCCTGCAGGCGTGTGTTTAGGCAAGTTGGAGCAAAACCCTGCAGGGACAACGGGCCTCCAAGACCGAGATTGGTGACCTGTCTTAGACTATAAGACTTTTTTTGTCTACTTTTTAAATTATTAACACTTTATGGGATTTTAGCAATAAACTCTTTATAAAACTAATTGCACCTTATCGTTCTTTCTGTTTGATTATCCTCTTATGTTATCTATGTATGTATTTATTGTACTTAATTTGGTATTTATTTATTTATTTATTTATTTATTTATTTATTTATTTATTTATTTATTTATTTATGTGTTTATTATTTGTTTTTGCTTTGTTAATTGAGTTAATGAAAGAGGTTAAGGGATGTGATTAACAATGGACTATACATTTCTGTTTACCTCTCAATATTTAAATTGTATTGACATACAAAAAAAAACAATAAAAATGTAGAAATAAAATGTAATTGGTTTATTTACCTCATATCAAATCAAGTTTGTAACGTAAATCACTTTGTGGCCGGTTGGTTTGGTATACAACGCTTTAACGAAGAAGACAAATCCCAATCCCTTTAAGAAAAACTAAAGAGAGAATACTTCCGGGATCTTGTGGCAAAAAGTGGGAGGAGCCTCAACCACGGCAACCAGCAACTTCCTGACATCGGATCAGACGCAAATAAACATACTTTCGTTTTTCGACTTCTCGGTAGAGACGAACCTTCAAGAACTATATCCGGATACCAGAAACGTGTTGTCTGTGACTAATGAAAATTTTAAACCGCGAAGTGGTTTACGTAACCGATTTTGTCAACATCAGTTGGTAACGTAGTGAGTCGTCAAGACGCTCCAGTGCTAGAAGTGATCCAGTTTTCCAGAAACATACCTGACACATAACTAATGCCAAGGTAGCTGCCAACGACTGTTATTATTCTTTAGATTTTGTACTGTAACATTGTCAGAAGTAGCTTTCGTGTTTTCATTCGTAGGTCCAGACGAGTAAAGGTGTCTCATAAAAGACAAATGGCACATCCCAAAACAAGAATGGGTCAATTGGACAGCAAGCATATACATACTGCTTCGGGGAGACGCAGATCAGACGCAGTAAGTTGCATCAAGGGTGATCATAAAACTGTCCCAGGAATATTTGCGAAGCAAAATTTTCAAAGGGAAATCCCAGTTTTATGTGGTAAAGGTATTTTGGAACTGCTTTTTTGTTAGTCCAGACGGGTGAACCAGGTTTAACTGGTTTTTAGAAGCTTATGTCAAGGGCCAGACAGAATCTGTGGACATTTTTTTTGGTATTTCTGTCCAGAGTTTTTGTACTAAATCGGTGGATTTATGTGGAATGATTTTGAGAGCATTGTAACTAAAAACGTAACACCCTAAATAAAATGATTAAATACTAAAAATGAAATAATGTAAATATGATTTTAAAAGTGTGAGGGTTTACAATGTGAATATAATTTGATCCACTTGTTTGGTAAACAAAGTAAGTTTTTTATATATCTACAAAAGGGCAGGAAATATTACTTTTCAAACTGTATTGTACAAAACCATGTACATTTGCATATTATTTAATATTATTACTGAAATTAGGGTGGCGCAGTAGGTAGTGCTGTCGCCTCACAGCAAGAAGGTCGCTGGTTCGAGCCTCGGCTGGGTCAGTTTAGCGTTTTTGTGTGGAGTTTGTATGTTCTCCCCCCATTCCCACAGTACAAAGACATGCGGCACAGGTGAATTGGGTAAGCTAAATTGTCCATTGTGAATGAGTGTGTATGGATGTTTCCCAGAAATGGGATGCAGCTGGAAGGGCATCCGCTGAGTAAAAACATATGCTGTATAAGTTGGCGGTTCATTCCGCTGTGGCGACCACAAATTAATAAAGGGACTAAGCCAAAATGAATGAATTACTGAAATTAATATAAATACTGAATAATATGTATTTACTAAGTGAATAAATAGATTAAATGATGAGCTCAAAAATCTGGGGACATATGCAGATTTCCATTTGTGCAGATTCTGTGTGAGCTTGTTGATGACTAAAAATCCAGCTATCATGGTGGGTTTTTCTACTGCTTTGGAACTGAATATTAATCTTTCTCCTTTTTCAGTTCACATGTGTGGTGCCAGATGTTCCTCTAGCTGTGGTTGAGGAGATCTTGCTGAACCTGCCCGCTCAACAGGTGGTCCAAGTGTGTCGTCTGGTGTGTCCTGAGTGGAAAGAGCTGGTGGACAGCTCTGCACACTGGAAAGAGCGCTGTCGGAGAGAGGGGATTCAACCCTGTGATGCTTCCAGACCCCCAAAGGACTGGTGTCAGTTTTACTTTATAACTAAGAAACGACGTAACCTGATCAAGAATCATAAAGCTGATGGTGAGTCACATCTATATCATTGACATTTGTTCTATTGTTGTCTGATTTTGTAACTGTTTTGTTTTGTTAAAAAAACAGAGATATGAACTGAGACAGAGAGATGAACTGAGATAAAATTAAGTTTTAAGTTTTTATATTTTGATCATTTCTTATAATGTTTTATTTATGAAAATTAGCGGTTTAGTTTGTCAACAATGACCTTAATTTATATAAATGTGTTTGAACAATAAATGTGTTTATAAAATTGTAAGAAATTCCATGCAAATGTCATCCCTGCTATGAAAGAAATTAAGTTTTTACCAAAGTACCTGAACCGTTTTGACGTTTTTTGTGTAAGCAAGTATTTTTCAGTACTTTAAAAATAACCAAAAATATCTCTTTCAGTGTTTTCAAAAACTTATATTTAATTTAGCAAAGTCCCACAAGTGGCAATTTCACATCTATCACATCCATAACGAAGAGATGTCACATCCATAATGAAGATTTTTCCTCATAAATGCAAAAATGTCAAATAAAATAAAATCAATCATGTTTGTTCTCTGGAGAGCCAACACTTTACCTTTTGATTAGCATTGTTTCTTTTGGGTTGTGCAGTTTAATTCAAAGAATTTCTAAAAAAGTTGGTTGTTTACTGTATTGTTTACTGACTTTCTTGTTCACATCCATAACGCATGTTTATTTTCCTCATTTGAAATCTAAAAATTTTTACAGATTGATATTTTTCAGATTCCTTAATTCTGTGGTTAGATGTTTTGGAAAATATAAACACTTTTTAATATAATGTTATTATATGCTTTCTCTGTGAATTTATGTTTTGGATTTTTATTGCAAATGTCACATCCATAACGCGGGAATTGACCCTTCGCTAAGCCACAACTAAAAACCGCCACCCACGAATTGTGGCTTAGCAACCGTAGCTACGCACAGGGGCTCTGTCAAGCTTTTAAGCAAGGGAAAAGGGCCAAAGCGTTGTGCATATGGATTGTGCAAATCTGACACCTGGTATTCTAAAAGTTTGGACGGGATGGTGGAATTTTTCCCCTTTTCAACACCTAAAACCCAAGAGGAGAAATGCCAGCGTGGATCAATCTCTGTGAGGGGAAATAAGTTGGTTTTGTTTTTGATACTCACGCTCGATATTATGAGCAATGCTCCGTTTAAGCCTTCGCCATAGTAACTTAGTCATACTAATAGCGAATAGTGCATGAGTTATTGATCCGGAAATTACAAATCTGCGAATCTGTTGCTAACTTAACTGAACTTCATATTTCCATCCCTTTCAAGCTACGATTATTTGAAATTACAAATCAGCAGAACAAAACAGAGTTGTGATCACAAGCTGAGCACTTGCGATCAATACACTTCACCAGCAGCTGTTTTTCAGTCATTTATAAAGAGCACACAAAACTACTGACTGTAATTGGTAACTTACTGTACATTGTGATGGGTCAATGATGCTTATATTCAGCACAAATCCATCAATTTCCCCTTTCTGTCTGCTCTTTCTATGAATGAACTATGTAGAAGCACCGTCCATGCGTGTTTCCTCATCAGTTAGTAAGGCTTTATTTCATTGCACAACAATAGTCTGTCAGGCTTTTTGGCTAAAAATAGAGAAATCATGGTTTAATGAGTTATTATTAGATTATTTTAAGATTTCACCTCTCATGCATGAACTAAGCTGTTGAATGGTCAGCGTAAGAGGCTAAGCTACCTTCAATTTTGTTTTAATTATTTTCTAATCGGTTGCCTACTATGTGGTGAATAAACCCCTGTAATGTACACTGCAGTCTTTTTTTGTCTGGCTTTCTCGGATATCTCACCTGTGGGCCAAAAATGACATTATATCCCTGACAATGTCTGACACCGGCGCATACACATTGTAAAAGCCATGCCAGGCACGAAAGCTTGACAGGCGTAGCAACAGTAACTAAGGAGGGCAGGGCTTAGCGAAGGATCAATTGCTCATGTGTTTTTTTCTGTGATGTTTTTGTTAGAAAAATTTGCAGGATGGACGATTGTACACAATGGAGGTGACAACTGGAAATCAGAGGAAAATAGGAAACCATTTCCAGATGTCACTGTCACCAAATGTTTTGTCACATCTTATGGGTATGTTAGATGGTTTAGATCCTTCAGAACAGTTTTGAGCATCTTCAGTAAAGGGATATTGAAATGAGTCGTCAATTACAATGTACATATGAATCACTAATATACTTTTTCCTCAGGTTATGTTTAAAGCAACAGCTGATTGATTTGCAGAAAGAAGGCTACAGTGCTGCTTTTATGGATCAGGTGCAACCTCACATTAAAATCTCAGACTGGTGAGCATTTATGCTACAATGTCTTTGCTTTTCAAAGTTTGTAAAAGTTTTATAGGCAGTATGGTAATACCAAAAACAGTTCGATACGGTTCACAGTTTTTGGGCCACGGTTTGTTTAGGTTGCTAAGACACACTAGATTTACCTTTGACTTAATAACAGCATCAATTAAACTTAAAAACTTTATTATACAGTGATTTCTGTTTAGTGCAGTTAGCTGATTTGGGTAAACTAAAACTACTTTTTTATTCTTTCGATTTCTGCTTTCATTCGAATATTAGACAAAAACAAAAGTATATCTAGGATATATTGTTTGTTTGCCTTCCATATTTTAAATATTTTTTTTTTTAAATCAATGTTTGTGTTCCACAATAATGGGATTTAAGGACACTATATCGGTGTTGCGTCCAATCCAGTTTCAGCATTTTTGAGTATTGTCTTGTCTGGTGGTATCTGACATTACTAGAACATATCAGAAGTTTCTTGCTTTCCTCAGTTTATTGTTCAGTTTTATTACCTGTGTTTCCATCCACCTATTTTTATGCACATTTTGAATATGCCTATAAAACACTTTTGATGAAAACGCCAAGATGCGATTAAATTCTTTATTTTAGAATTTAGGATAAACTTTTTTTTTCCGATATTTTTGTTTTATTTCAGTTTTGCACAAATTTAATTAGCATTTTTGGATAGAAACAGCTATTGAAACCACTAATTTAGTTTTTCTACTTTGCGTTTTGGTTGTCTATATTTGTTGGATTAAAGACTTCTGACAAAGCATATTGTTATGGGCAGCATACTTACAGTATGTGTTGTGTTATCGGCAGGTATGGACCACGTTTTGATTGTGGGTGTAAGTATCAGATCTGTGTGGAGCTGCTTGATCAGAAGAAGGAGCCAATCGATACCTTTCAGCCTGAGAAAGTGGTCTTTGAACAGTGGAATGATGAGCCATGGTGTCAAGTGAGTTGATAATATTTCAAGCTTTTCTGTTATTACAGTGGCCTACACATATTTAAGGCTCATTTTAAAGTTTCATTAAGTGGAGCATACGTTTTATGGGCAGGTGACTGACTGATTTACTAACTGACTTTTTATGTTTTCTGTAAGACAATTGTAATAACAATGTAATGTCTATTAGAACTGTTGATCAATAGTAACAATATGTTAAATGGGTGTGGGGTATTTTGAGCTGAAGCTACACAGACACATTATGGGGATTTTTATTATATCTTTTGAAAAGGGAAATAATATGTATCATTGAAGGCAATTAAAAGAGAAAAACATTAAGTTGTCTGCAGACTTTTACATTTTTACCAGTCCAGTATTCAGAATCTGAAAATATGTATGCGTCAAACACAAATTGAAATTCATTAAGGGCCGTAAGCTATATTTTAGGCATATAAACATCTTGGCAAATTAAAGCTAATAAATGTCTCTATCATCCGGAATAAATACAATTGTTTTGTGGTAGTTAAACAACTAAATCTTTCATTACAGCACCTCATTGATCAGTTGTAGTACTTCAATAGTTGCTATAATACAACTACAGTAATCTAAACAATTTTTGCCAATGCTTTATTTAAAGGGATGTTCATAAGACTGCCATTAAACCTTATCAATCATGACATGACACATATTTTATGCCTAATTACAGATTTAATCGCCTCTATTGTTTTTTTTTTTTAATTACCTTCTATTTAGTTTGTAACACAGCTCTAAGTGAATAAAAATATCCAGCTGAGGTTTAAATCTGAAAGTGTGCTGTGTTTAAAACTATTGATTCATAAAGAGTCAACTCAGAGTTGAATAAATGATTCTTCTCATGTCCGAATCTTTTGCCTGCTTGTATCGACGTCGATACAAGATATGTCCAAATATAAAGTGCCGGATCCAGTGCGCCCTTCCCTTCAAACACTAGCGGAGCACGAGGGATAATGGGATTGATTATAAAGCAATGATTACGATCACTGAGAGAAGGCCAGAGATGCAGTTGTGGCGAAAAAAAAAATATTAAAGTTATTTTTCACAACAGTTGTGCTGTGTTTGTTCCTGTAATTTCCCTGATAGTTATACAATAGACTACCCTGCAACGTGGGATTCATTGGCCGTTTGCTGTTAAATGAAGGATCAGCAAAGGCTATTAATGTATAGGACTTTGACAGGGAGTTTCTCAGTAACTGTTGCAGTTCATATGGACTAGTTTCTTCTTCCTCCGGATCACAACCTGTAAGCGAAATTAAAATGGTTGCCTCGTTTTCTGTAGTTTGCAAAATATGTATTTAATTGTGTGTTGTAACTTGTAATCACTCCGCGTGGCTTGTAATCACTTATCTATTATAGATCAGTTCTTGCAATGAATCTCTCAGGATAGCCTCCTAGGAATCGAGTGTCCACATATGTGGACAACACATTTTATCTCTTAAGTGGCCATTTAAAATACTTTAAATGTTTTTTTTATTTTGTTACAGACATACAGTGTCATCCTGAAACTGTTTTGCAGCATATGAAATGTCCCAAGCACTATTTTTAACTGTCCAAAATGAGAAAAATTTATTTTTTACTCTCTGATAGTCAAAGCTAGTTAACAAAAAAAAAATGTTATATACAGTGTTATATAAAGTATACAATAAAAAACAATCAGGAAAACGTGTTTTATGTAAATTCGGACCACGAGTCCACATATAAGGACATCATTTTTCTCTAAAAGTACATTAAATCAAAAGATGATACTTTGTTTTTTATGCTAATTAGGTTTCAATAAGCCCAAATAGCAAAGAGAAATAAAAAATGCATCTAAAAAACACCTTGGGCATTAAGTGGTTAAATCTGTATGGGCGATTTACGTATCGCGTCTTAAACCATGAGAAAAACGCAATATGTGCTTCTTCCTTTACGAATTCAAATGCTTGCTGAAGTCGCAATCCTCTGCCATTTGTCGTTGAATTGGCCACCATCAGCTGTTCCTACACATGAGTGGCGCTGTCAATTTTCAGTGTAGTTCAACTTTTGCCAGCGTGTGGATAATACTGAATATATGTCATTGTTATTACTTTGGGGTTATGGTTACGAATAGAGCAATATGCTGGTGTTGACATGCGTTGCTTTAATGAATTTTTTGCATTAGACTCACACATGACCAATCATTAGCCTCACGCAAAGGATGGGTTTGGAACAAATTAATTGCTGAACAAATCATATGGGAGTCGTTGGGATAATTAGATAAATATTTATAAATATAAATAAGCATTTTTTTGTCCATGGCTGCATTTCAGCCTGTTGTTGGAGACCACCAAAACCAAAATAGGATGTTTTAAAATGCATAATAAGGGGCTCTTTAAGTGCCATTTGCCCCGTTGTGTCATTTGCAAAGATGACATTGTTTGACCACTTGACATCACAACCATCTTCATCCT